ATGTTGTTTTTGTTTATTATTTATTACGAAATCAAATGTAAAAACAATACAAACAAAAGTCATAGCGTTGTATTTGCGTCAAAACATCGTTTGGGATTCAACAAACACAAATTAAAGTAATTTTGTGGTATTTCCATGCTTAATAAAACAGGGGTTTTTTAAATCGGCGAACAGGGGCGCAGCGCCCTGATATTCTCGGCTGGCACCCTCTTACCGAATTGCTGATGAACTTTCAAGTCATAAATATATTTCTTGAACCGCGCACTTCTGTGCTGCCGTACAACATGAAATCTTTCTCAAATATATTTTTCTCCATGCAAAACTTTCACCAACACCAGCTGACAGTGCGTCTGGACACTAAATACATCAATGGACGATAGACACACTGTTAAAACGGCGCAGAAAACTTTCAATATGGCGTTTCCAGGTTGATCGCCTGTGTGTGCTCTCTTTTATTTTTTCTAGAAAACCCCTGATACACATTTGATGATGGTAAATTTTGATAAATTAAGGGTATTGAAGGCTTGACGCTGAGGGTAGTCCTATAGCCAGGGACAAGTACAATTGGTATTCAAACAACTTAATATCAACTCATTTGCATTAACAGACTATAGAAAATATATAGGCAACATGAATTTCGATCAAGTGAGCTTAAAACTCAATGTAAAAATTTTGAATCCTGTTAAAAGCCAAGATTTTTGGTGCTAACGAATTATCAGCGTTAATTAGCCTTTAGCTAAATCCAGCCCTACCCACTACACTTGGCTTTATTTGATTTTTTATGTTTTAATAACACTTTGATATAAATCTCTGTTCAGGGTGACAAATCTGAGAAGGCAGGGAGTGTGAAGTCAAGACAACGATCCAGAGCTGTGTCATCAGAAAGCGGAGTAGACTTTATCGAGTATTCCACAGATTCAAGTTCCAATGATCTCAGGGCACTGGCCCAGGCATCTGAGTAAGTAATAAATATTTACTGCTGGCCCATGCATCTGATTAAATATTTACTGCTGGCCCATGCATCTGATTAAATGCTACCACTGGGCCAGGCATCTGAGTATGTATATAACACAACCCCAGGCATCTGATCTCAGACTAGTAATAATGTATTACTAGTCTGAGATCTGATTATAAGTATATTTAATGTTGGCCCAGGCATCTGATTATTACTAAATATTTACCGCTGGCCCAGGCATCTGAGTATGTATGTAACATACACTCAGATATCTGATATATACCAATGCCAGCAGCTGAGTAAGTATTATGAAAGTAATTCTAAATTTCAATTCACTGGCCCTGGTACCTGAATATATACATATCTTATCAAAGTCACAGGCCTGATTATGTATTTCCTTATAACATACTTGTCGTTTTATTTTTTTAAAACTGTTTATTTTCTAGTTCCCAACGAAGTCCTAAATCAGGAAAGAAAGCAATGTATGGGTCTCCATCATCTTTGTAAGTAGCGAACATTTACCCATCATGCACGTCTGTATTTCTCACATGTTACCCAGAATGCAACTGCATTTATGTTGTCAGATTGAATATTCTGAAATGTCCCACAACAATAAACAGGAAGTGAATTTTCTGTAAATAGTTGTAATACACAGTGTTCATCATTCAGGGATTTTTCTTTTCTTTCAGGCCAACTGGACCAAGGTTATCATCACCATCCCCCTATAAGGGCAAAACACCGACTGGTGTGGCTGGACAGCGACCACTAAATAGACTAAGGGCTGGCAGAGGTAGAGCAAGAACAAGGTTTGTAAGCTTGCAATATTAAAATATTTCAATGTAGTTTTATTTAAATTTATTGTATGTAAATTTTATTTTTGATAATTTCGGACAAAATGGGCATAATTTTCTTTTGGCTACAGGTCTTGGTAAAAATTTGGGATAAAAGTTGAGAGAACCTTAATTTTTTGTGGGTGGTGGTCGTCGCATGTTCAAATTCCATGTTAACAAACTTTACATGCATTGTGTACATCGCTATGAGTCCATATTAACAAGAGAATACTGTGGAATACTTTATTTTAGCTGGAATAAATTTCGCTGAAAAAGCTTTTTGGGTGTTCTGTATAGAATTTATTTTCACTGATTTTTGATGAGTTGAATGTGAGACATAGGAAAAAAAGTATATTCACTGGATTTTATTTTCACTGAAGCATCCCTTCAGCGAAAATACCAAAAATAAATTCTAAGCAGAAATAAAGTATTCTACAGAAGTTTTTTATCTTTTCAAATGACATCACTAAGCATTATAGTGTATGATTGAAGACATTTGATTTTAAACAGATGAGTAAAAAAAACTAAAATGATGACGTATTTGTGTTGAAATAATTTCTTCAGGGGTTTGTTCAGGCAATGAACTTTCTTAGAATTCACTACAGTGAAGCAGCACAGTTTAGGTTGAAAATATCATTTCATCGTCTGTGCAATTTTGTCTTCAGTTCACATGCTGTACCACGTTCATTGATTGCATCATTCTATTATTACTAAAATCTCGTAACATTTTAATATAAAAGCCACAGTATTGTAATTATGCAGGTTATCTTTGAAAGTTTAGAAAAAGTGTGTACATTCATAAATACGCAATGAAGATTGGACAAAATTTCGGTGTTTAATTTGTACATTTGTTAGGGAGATATTCCTTGGGGATAACATCCAATCATGTCTATTCAACTTGTGAAAAAAACAAGCTGCCTGGATGACCAGTTATAAAATGAACCCCCTTTTAGTGACAAGTGCACTCGGTAACCTGGCAACCATGGAACATGCCCAAAAAACTCAATATTCGTCAATATAGTGACAAACTTTACTTGTTTGCAGCTCCTGGACTATTGACGGTGTTCTGAAAGAACCACGCCCAGCGAAGACAAGGGATGATAATTTGAAATTAGAAATGCAGAGATTACTGGAAGAAAAGCAGAGAGCAGAGGAACGTCTGAAATTAATTCAACAAGAGCAAAGTTTACAACAGAGAGAAATCCATGCAGAAGCTGAGAAGATAGCCAAGGTGAGAAGGGTTTATAACCGGTCACTGGTAGTATAGTGGTTGTTGCATCAAACTCGTGATCGGTAGACCCAAGTTCAAATCCTACCTTTGGCTGAACATCAAAAGGATTGACCCCTACCCTGGGTGAGTGTGCCACAGATTCAATGGGAAGGCCAATTCCACTGGCTGAGATTCATTCACTAACGAATGTGACTTTGGGAAAACCTTGGTTAAGGTCCACAGGTGCTTGTGTTCGACCAAGCCTGGTTGACGCCAGGATAGCGCATTAAAATTGCCATTTGATAGGGAGTTGGCCACACAGCCCTGTCATGTAGTCCAAAACATGAATACGACTTCTGTGGTAAAATGCACTATATGTCAGCAATAACACTTGTAATTTGCACTTAAAAAAAAGGAGAGACAACAGTGACATTCAATGTCCAGGGTTTATAATACAGTATGGTTTGAGTGTTCAACGTAGGATAAAAAACTTATTTCCTTTATATTTTTTAAAAAACCCCCACCCCCACTGAAACTTAATTGATAAATATTGATCATGGC